TGTGTCTCCTCAGGTAAAAAACAAGAAGTCTTTTCAGAAGAATTTATGCACGTACATCGAAGTATAAAAATTCCACTGTACCATATTTAGCACGTACTTCATGAATTAACTAAACTTCTTCGCACTACTAAATAAACCATTTCTTCCACCCATATAGTACCAAACTTTACTGTTATTGTATTTCTTATATTTATAATCCTCTCAATTTTTTCTTTTTATTTATTTATTTTTCATACGTGTGAACATCGTTTAAGCTCTGTTACTGATAGGATCCCACATATTTTGGTATTGACTGTTTAATCTTGCATATATGGTATGTTATCATTCTCACACATTTTGGTATTGACTGCTAATTTTGTATATATGGTATATTATCATTCTCACACATTTTGGTAGTGACTGTTAATCTTGTATATATGGTATATTATCATTCTCACACATTTTGGTAGTGACTGCTAATCTTGTATATATGGTATATTATCATTCCCACACATTTTGTTACTGACTGTCAACCTCGCACATATGGTATATTATCATCTCTCACGCACTTTGTTATTGGCTATTAAGATAAATTATTTCAAATGCTGTTAGCTGTCCATATTGTTGTAAAATGTATAAATACCATGGCTTTCTTTATCGTTGTTGCACTTCAATACACAGTCACAGTCCAGCCTTTGTCTTTTGATATTTGCGTGCTTTATTAAATCGGAAGGTACGACAAGCAGATAGACAGATTAGTTCAGGCGCAGACAGAATAAGGTGAAAACGTCTTCATTAAATTCCCTACCGTTATAACAAATTGGCGACGGGGTTTTACCTTAATTCAGTGCAGTTATAACAGTTACCACTGTTAATCTTGTAGTTCCCCTCACTATACTACATCAACAGAACTTTAGATGCAATACTCTATAGTAACATTAGTCAGTGGTCCTCTTCAAACGGACTTAAGCTTAATCCGTCTAAATGTCAGGTAGTCAATTTCACTTTCAGACGTAAAAGTAACCTACAGCAACTAGTTAGCTCACATGGCCCCACTCTCATTGACGGCACAGAGGTTGAAAATACACCTAATGTCAAGTACCTTGGGCTGAGTTTTTCCACCGATCTTTCCTGGTCTTCCCACATCTTGCTAGTTACTAGAAAGATGTTTCGCTTAACGTTCTACATTAGGAAATTTAGGTGGTCTGGTATAAAGCAATCTTTACTTTCTCAATTTGTAAATTCTTGTATTCTACCCATCCTCCTTTACTGTTCCCCATTAATCTTTCCTGGACCACTTAAGAAAGACTTTGCTTCGCTGAGAAGGGCACTGAAAGCTGTTAGTAGGGCAAGTGGGATATCGTTAAACCAACTGGTTAACACTATTGTAGATAGACATATCATGTCATGTAAGAAACTAGTGATTACAATATTGTCGGACCCCGAGCATCCTCTCTATACGCAGTTGTCTCCTTGCATTTCATCTGGTAGAACTAGAAGCAGCTATAGGAGGCTTTATGCTAGGACTACCAAATACAAAAACTCCACAATACCATATCTGGCACAGCTGTTATGTGATGAGAAATCCGTTAGGTATGACACGATAAACTTACTGCGGCACTCTAACAAATAGTCCCATTAATTTTTGTTTTCCTTTCCTCGTTACTATTACACTGTTGTTCTCATCTTCTACCACAAATCAACTTTATATTTCAAATCCTGTGTTGCATTGTTTGAAATGTAATACTCTACGCTGTTTTTTTTATTTTTATTTATTTATCTTTGATTTTTAAAAATCTTATATAATTTATGAGGTAATTAGATGCAATATACTGTAATGGACGCTGAAAATTCCATACCTGTACCACAAATACCGTTTGGAATAAAGCTGTTATTATTATTATTAAAATTTCCTAACTGAATCGACAGTAATGCTTGAAACAAACTCACTGTTATTATTATTATATTTTAATGATCTCATTTCGTGCTTCGAATATTTTTGACTTTACATGGTAAATGTGGACAAATTCCTCTGGTTACTTTTGTTCTAATTTTATTTATATTTTGAGTAAATCAAATGCAATATTGTGACAAATGTTGAGAATTCCATTCTGTATTATAAGTACTGTTTTTGGAATAAAGTAAATTATTATTATTATTAATGTTCTTTTCTGTTATATTCTATTTTATCATTTGAATTCATTCCATTTCATTTCACTTTCGCAGTCGTTATTGTTATTCTTAATTATTTAGACAACACCTGACCTACAATTTAAAATCTCTATACCAGTTCACTTATTTAATGAGCTTTAAAAGTTTTGTAATTTACTGAGTTCAACTCTACCCCCTGACAGTAGTACATCATTTTAATTATCTTTATTCTTATCATCATATGTGCATGTTGACTGAGCAGTTTCTAGTGCCACTTAATGCCACCCTTTTCCTTAATATAAATACGACCGTGCAGCTTGAAAATGGAGCCGTTGAAAAAAGACATTTCCTTGCTGAATAAAAAACCGTGTTTTCCCTCATGAATATATATATATATATATATATATACACCTTTTCACGTTTTCCAGTGGAACATAGGGCTTCAAGCTTGTAGTTTGAAGTCTCTGTAGCAGTGTTTTTATTTTACAGAATGGGGTTGCTAGCCTCATGCCTAACCTTTCCTCTTTACCAGCATTATTTCTGGCTTAGCGAGGTAAAGGGGTGCGTCCAGTGGCCGGGGATCGAACCCGAGACCATGTGCATCATCGGTGAGCGTCTTAACAGTTATGCCACCTTAAATTTTCTCAAATTATGAAGAGTGTACATCTCTGAGAATATCCTTTACTAGTCGACCATTACTGTTCAGTAACCTGAAGGACAAGATCCCTCTTTTGACCAACTCTGTGTGTGTTTATCCATTCACCTGCTCATGTGGAGCTAGGTATATCGGTCGTTCGACTCGAGTTTTGTCCAAGACGGTGTAAGAACACTATCCTGCATGGTGGTTACGAAGAGGTGGAAGTGGAGCAATAAGAAGCGCGATCATTGAACCTCTTGACGGTAATGATCACACTATCTCTATAGCCTCAGCCTTTAAAGTCATCTACAAGGCAAAGAGTAATGTACCCAAATCACTACGTACCCGACTCATATGTATTGCTGAACCGTCTTTCGCTATCGAAACAGAAAAGCCAGATCTCTGTGTACAGAAAAACTCCGTTCAACCCCTCCGACTTTCATGGTCTTAATCCCTCTATGCTAAAACATGGTAATCCCCAATCATATTTTAACTCTACCAATTTTTTCATTTTGTCTATTTAATTTTTATACTCTTCCTTTAATAAGTCAATTGTTACTATTACTACTTTCACTTTGAACTGTCCCCGGTATTATTTCACTTGTCATTCTAAATCCCTTTTGTTATGAAACGTTAAAATCTATGCTAACAAATGTCACACAGTAATACCTAACGTTTTTATTTTATTCGGCTTGCCTATTAATCTTATAATTGCCCACCCTTTCCAAGTTCTATCTATCCTATGAATTATTATATATATTAAGAAGACAATTGCAGCGAAGAAAATTTTCTTTTCGACGAAGTCATCATCTAGGCTGTACATTCGTGTATTGATATCAAATGGATGGGAAAGTTCCAGAATAATTTCCAGTTAGAGCTCAAATTAATAAAAATTACAATTAGGAATTAAATGTCATAATAAACAGGGGTAGGGACGGATAAAACTCAAACAAAGCAGCATCATAATTACTAAGAAGATTGACATATTGTGCAATTAGGGGTTAGAAATGTAGAAATAACAAAAATAGACAGGATGTTTGGATAAAAAAACTAATGTGTTGAATGACTGTTTATGCAATCAGGGATTAAATATGTAGAAATAGTAAAATGACAAAATAAACAGAAGTTCGGATATGAAAATATAGTAGTGTAAACAGGGACTAAGAGAACTTAAAAATAACATGAATAAACAGGAAGTTTAGATAAGGAAGGCGATAGGATGGTCATTGCTAAAGCAAAAATTACATGTTTATGATGGCTATGGCAGGGACAGGGGTTGAGCGTATTTCTTTTGGATACAAAGCATGGGTTTGAGCTTTAGGATAGCTAGTCCCTCGGCTATGCCCAGATGTGTTAATTTCACTCCGTTTGATAGATTTGTTTTAATCCTGTATACTACTTTGAAGGATTTTTCGAAAATCGCTGAATGTCCTGAATTGACTAGATGTTCTGTCACTGAACTGTATACACGTTTTCGATCTCCTTTTACTAGACAGGCTGGATAGTGTTCACGAGCGCGTTTTCCAAGTTGGCGCCTGGTACGGCCGATGTACTCAGCTCCACAAGAGCAAATTCTACATAAGACATTTGTTTAGCCACTCGACATTTACCTATGATTATAATCAAAAACATTTTAGTTTTATAAAAAATTATATTTGTAAAATCTCAGCGATATTGAAATGAGTAATTCCAACGTTTCGTTCGGCAATCTGGTCCGAACTTCTTCAGGGAAATTAATCGAAATTTTTAGTTTTAATTACATTTCGTATTGTTTTATGCATTCACACCTACGATTCAATTCCATCACCGGATATAACCTCTTAAATTAAACATATATATACGATTGTACAGCCTGATAATAAATTTGTTGAAAAGAGTCTCTTCACTGAATCACTTGTTTTGATTTTCTAAGTGTTTTATCTGTCACACGGTATTAATTAAGAAAAAAAAAAAACAAATATAGCCACAATACACCCTACAAAATCACTGAAATGACATAGTAATGGTAGTGGAAAACATATCGCTCACTAAATCAACACACCAAGTGGTTAGAGAGATACAACTTCTGCTTTATTGGTTCCCCCCACGCATGCATTCATTATTATTAATTATTTCGTTGGCTGAAAATCTATTGATTTGTCAAGGTCACCACCTGCGTCCACGAATAGAATTTATTTGTTTATAAAACACGTATTGAATATTATGTTTGTCAATTAACCAATATAAAGACAAGGCCATAGGATAGGGCTGATTAATAAATAAATCAGTTGAAAAATACTGACAAAGTAGTAGGTATGCTGTATTAACAACGGGTTAAAATCCAAATATGCAGAATAAGTCACAAATATATAGTAATAGCAATAACACCAAATCGAGAAGCAAACATCCGAAACGATGTTCTCTAATCATTTATCATATCAGTACAGTGATGCTATTCATAGGCATTATTGTTACAATAATTGGATTAGCTACAAGCAGACTATTTCATGTTTATATTTATGATCATCGTAATCCAGCAAAATTTCATCATGTACACATACCAGTGGGTTTATTTTCAATTAGTACACATGTTACATGGTTATCTATGGAAAAGGCTGTTTTGCCGTATAATCTTGAAATTAGTGGTAAGTTGAATCTTCATTATTCCATCAAAATCGTTTTTTAATGTGTATAACATTGTTTAAAGGATTTCATTATGAGCTGACCTCTGTTAGAGAACCATTGGAAAACCTGCACTGGAGTACTGGGCAGCTGTTTCACCCTATTTTGGGAACTCCGGCGAAGTTCAACAATAGCCCACCAGGAGTGCGAACTCCAATGACTTTGAACGCGTGCTAGTCACTGGCTAGCGGCACTTGTCATTATTATAGCTGGAATATCAATGCTGTTCACCAACTAAGGAGCAAATTTCACCGAGATCACATTTTTAAGTACTGTTTGGACAATGTGTTACTAGCTCGTTAGGGTTAGAATTACGGTTTGGATGTGTTATGATTAGGGTCAGGATTAAGGTTAGGGTTACGATTAGGGATATATTTAGGGGTGATGTCATTTATTTTAGTTTGTTTTATTATCCACATTCTCCTGGTAAGTAGTTGTCAGTCCTCTTTCTGGTAACCATAGTAATTCAACCGAGGGTTTTCGAGGAACACTGCGCAACAGGATAGGAGAGATAAACGATTCACGAAAACAGCCCATCTTCAGTTATCTGGGTGAATACGTGTACAGAAACTAGTCTAACTTGGCATCTGATACTTTTCATTATAACTGGGACGTATTTTTAAGTCATGTGTCAGAGAAAGATGCCCTATTTAATGAGTTTTCCTTCATTTTCTTGTAAATATACGTCATTTTTCATGCGAAAATTCCTCATTTTTATGATTGGCCGGTTCAAGGACACCTGTACTTTCGCATCCCTTGGGACGCTATTGTTGAACTTTGTCGTGATTCCTCATTAGTATGCCCCCACTGGAATTCGAACTCAGGACCTGGTTATAAGGCGAGCTCGTAGACCATTATACCGATGAGGAAAGAATAAAGAATTGATAGCACTATTAAATAACCTTGAACCAACCAATCATATGTCTCGCTCAACTTTACAAATCAATTATTGAATTGAATTTTCGATTTTCCTGTCGATTGACTGGACCGAAGTGCTTGGTCTCAGGTTGACATGTCGGCTTCTTGTGCAGATGCTTCGACGATGTCTGGGCATTTAATTAGTATACAATTGGTGGACGAAATGCGCATCCTGGATTCCACTGCTAGCCACCATCCACCAATTGTTTACAAATCAATATTTTGCATAATTGCAAGTTCCATTAGGATTCAAAGTAAGAGTCAGGGAAGGATTAAGGTAGGCTTATGGTTAAAGTTAGGATGAAACTTACGACGATGATTATAAGCGGCGTACATTTGAAATGTTGGGCAGTGTAACTGTCGTTATTAGGTTATAGTCATTAATAAAGTCAGTCATTCATCAGAATTAGTAGATCCCGTAACTGGTACTCATAGGGATTCTGGCATATTGGGGCATGTGTCTTATATAATTCATTTTTTAAATGTATGTATCCAGTAAACCTATTTTTTTAATACTATAAACGCCACTTTTTACCTAGAATCTCATGATTAGCAGGCTGAAAGTCATTTGACTGTGATATATACTATGTACTATGGCCACAAATGAAAATTTGGTTAGATATCTGTGTACCCTTCCAGGGTAATAAAGAGCATAGAGGGTTGGGTAGACTGAAGTATAACGACCCGATTTAAGCGAATGGTCAACCAAGTGACTTTAAAAGCCAATAAGAAAACAAGTGATAAAACATAGTTATAAAAGGATATCAATCTCTTCTGTGTTCTAGGAATGTCACCCAATTCATCGTTTGAGTTCCTATTTCATGCATTTATTCCCCTTGATGAATTTGAACAAAGCATAAAAGAAAGGAATGACTCAATTATTGAGGTTCCGCAGGAATCTTCCGTCAACTGACATCATGTAAAATTTGGAAGTTGTAAGCAGCTGATGAGAAACCAACGAAATAAAAGCTGATGATACCGTATTTTTCTGTACAAACCACTGTTGTTCTCACTGAGTTCCTATTGTTAGTCTAAACCAATTTCTCTATAGGAATTCGCTGAGATAACTGTATATCACGTGACATTTAGCGACCCATTCACCACTTGAGTCTTGTTTTGCAAATGCTCTCAGAATCCTCCTGTTGCTTTGGTGTTTCTTGTCTGATGGGTGAATTAAATCAGAAGGATGATTTAGTGTCACATCTGCATATATGTACATCCATCAATGGTGTCTGCATATTTCTGCAAACACTTTGGTGTTTAAAACGATGGGTTATGAGATACAAGTCTTTGTGGTAACACCATGACTTACTAGAGATTCAGGTATATCCGGATGATGAGGTGCAAGTAATACTGAGTACGAGTTGATCACCGAATGAAATCAGTACTCCCTGGTTTTCAATGGTTCTCTGACTGATGTCAATCCGTGATCAACTCGTAAAAAAAACAAAATTAACGCTTACAAACCAAACTATAGAAAATTAATCTGATGTTCGCTAGTGACTTGCTACAGGACGGAGTTTCTTGGAGTCAGTTCTAGTGAGATGTTGTGACCATTGAGGTCCATCCAGTCAAGCTATATAGAGATGATTTCCCGCCAGTGACATTGGTTGGTGGTCGCGCTAAGTCTCGAATTAGTAGAAGTTAGAATTCATGGGTTGACCATTGAGGTGTCAAGTCCCAGTGGCCGGCTGAATGATCTACGAGCTAGATTGTCTTGTAACCGGTAGGTCCTGGGTTCGAACCCAGACAGTAGGGTGGTTGCGTACTGCCGATAATTCCCAAACTAGTCTGACGAAACAGCTTTCTGGTATTACTCTAGTACTGGTTTTCAATGGTTCTCTAACTGATATTAATTCGTGGTCAAACTCGTAGAAAAAAATCTTTTTCATCTATTGTGATTTCCTTTCTCATTCTGGTTATATTAAGATAATACACTTCAAGCCAGTATAATACATTAGTTTGGCGAATTTCACTAATAATTAATCATCATGTATTAGTATACTGTTTCTCTCTGTGTTTTTCTCTTTCCTTCCTGTTTACTTTAATATAAAGATTCACGTTGGACACTGGCTGGAACAATGAGTTTAATTGGTCTATTAACAGCTATTGGAGCTTTTATTGTTCATATCATTATGACACGGTGTAAAGCTAATCATAAATGGTCGAATGTACTCATTGAAGTTTTATTACTTCTAGCAGCGGGTAAGTGCCTGTATAATGAACCTCCCCCCACCCCCCCCAAATGAAATGAAGTATTATTGACAAACTTATTACTTAAAAATATACATTTTGAAACAGTAGAAGGTATTAACCAGTAATTTGTGATTTGGCGAAATTCAGTGGAATACACGGCTTCAACAGGACACCTACATTTTGTCGTGTTTTCTGCAGTTCTCTCGTCCCAACTTTGACTGCCGATAAGCTAAGCTTTCATCTCCTCTTCCTCCTCCTCACACGATCTCCTCCATGTCACAGCTAGTCGGAGTTGGAAACAACGAGTATGGCACATACTCGTTGTTTCCAACTCTGATTCCACTGGGGTGATAGCACCCAATGGTCTTCTCATCTTGTTTTATATCCATCTCCATTTTGTCCTGTATATTTGTCGGGCAATAGGTTTTTGGTTGGTCTGTTTCCAGAATTCCTTGTGTCTAAGTCTTTTTGGTCATTTGATTCTCAGTATGGAGCCAGAGAAGACAGCTGTTGATGAAAGTCTGCACTTGCCCGGTGGAAGCGCTTTCCGTGAAGCGCCGCCCAAGTTTCTCATCCATATAGAACAACCAACTGACTGCCTTAAACTTGGTGTTGAACAGAATCCAAACTTTATTGTTTACGCTGAGGCTGAGTGCAGAATATTTCCAAACTGATTTCAGAGTGATGACGGGGTACCTTGCCTTTCCGATCCTTACTTGCTTTGATATCTTCATGCGTACCATCCATCTGTAGTTGAAAAGATTGTTGGCTGCCTAGCCAAATAAGTGAAGGAAGTAACCTCTTTCAAATTTATTCTTTGGATAACGGTTGGTGCTTGTTTTTATTATTATTGGTGGTGGTGGTATCTGGGTATCGTCATCACTTCTGTCTTGTCTATGTCCACTTGGATTCCCGTCTTTGCCGCCAATTCTCCCAACTTGTTGATTTTCACCTGTACATTTCTGAGTTTCTGAGACACTAAACACATAAATCGTCGGCTAAGTCATGGTCTTCTAGAGTCTTCTTATCAGTCCAACGTATTCCTGCCTTCTCTCTCCCCACAGACCATTGAATGAAATCTTACGCTAGGCCCTTAAGTGGAATGGTAAACAACGAGTTTTCCATGGAGGAGATCGTGTGAGGAGGAAAGCTTAGCTTATGGGCAATCGTAATTGGTTGTGGCTAGTGGAAGAGAACTGCAAAGAACAGGGAAAAAACGTAGATATGCTGTTGAAGTCGTGTTTCCCACTCGGAAGCGAAGGGAATAATAATCACTAATTTTTGCTCTGTCTCATTAGTCTGTAGTCTTTATTTCACTTTGACGAGGCTTATATCTGCGCGATCACTGTAATTAATGCTCAGACAAATAGATCCACCTAAATATGGTATCGTGTTCCATCAGTGATGAATAACTACTACAACTGTATGTATTCAATATTATGTGAGCACGAGGAAACTTTGTGAACGGATCAGAAACGTAGTCCTAAGTATATGGGGTATTGGATAGTTCTCGTTTTCTTCAGGTAAATTTACGGCTTATAAAGCCTCCTTAATTTGATGTTCCACCCCCCACCCCACGCATCCACTGGCTAATCAACACATATAATGCATACGTGTACAGGGAGTGAACAGCTTTATGACAGGTTAACTCGCTGACTTTTGTACTGATTGATGAACATCCTAATACTTGGAGGGAATATGAATTGTCAGAAGTTTCAAAGTACTATTGTAACGACAGAAGGTAAGAGTTAGGCAACAGATCGTTTATTAAAGAAATCAACTCATATTTATAGATTTTCATGTACATTTTATAGATTATTGTTAGCAGAAAAACACAGTCCTCTGATTGGTTGTTTCTCACAGAAAGTTAACCTTGCATCTCTTTGTGACTGTTTTTTTGAATGTCAGATCATCTATATGTTAACTGTATCCACCTACGCAAAGCCCTTGTTCCTATTTTTCTCACGACCAATGTTGAGGACATAAATATTGACGTAAATTACTGCCCACCAATTTTAACTAACAGCCAGCTCTCACCACAGGTTTACGCGCTGACTTCTGTACTGATTGATGAATATCCAGAAACTTGGAGGAAATATAAATCGTCAGAAGTTTCAAAGTACCATGTCTTAGAGAGTACATAGTTTCATTTAGACTATCTTCTCCAACATATGGTAACTAATTGACTGAAGACACCATTTGATTAAGAGACGTAATTCAGTTCACAAAATAAGGTGGTGGTTTAGTAATAGTACTTTAGAGGATGAAAGATGTTGTCGAGTAGGCAAAATACGCTTATTTGATGATTGATTAGGCTGCAATATATTCTTCAACTCCCAGGGTACCTGTTCTACATAGGCGAGACAACTGTTCGGAAGGCAGTTAAAAACAACAAAATTAATCGTTAAAAATACTAAATATATTTTAGGATGAGAAACAACAACATAGGGTAGTCGATGTCTGCTTAGCGATTTGGAGAGTGCGTGCACGAACAACTGAACGTAACACGATAGATAGTGTACATTAATTTGTTGGTATAAGATAATTGGAGGCAATCGACTGGAAGCCCAGCATGACCTAGGTTTTGTGCTAGTTAGCACTCATCAGTCAGCAAGGCGTATCTGCAACCAACTTGAAGGAACTCATGTCCCTCATTCTGAGATTCGAATCCGTGTCACCCAATGCTGCAGTCAGTCAGAGACGTTGTCACTGAGCAGATGTGCATCGATTGCCTCCAACTATCTAATATCATCAAATCAATGTGCAACCTGATGACGAGCTACCTAGTGGTATGGTGGCCACATTGCCAACCTGACTGATAGAATCCAGTCTGCACCAAAGAAAGGACTAGACATGTCGGACTAGTTATTAGTGTCCAATCAAGATAGATAGTGTACCGAATGTAGTGTACCATCAGCTTAGCCAGTCAGTTGACGTAAACACTGAAGGTCAGCACCCACCTGAAATGCTGAATGATGAAAACTCAGATGTGTTTATATCCCTTCAATCTTCCTGGCTATTAGCAAGCACTACAGGTTGATATGAGTGGTAGTCAACTAACTACTACTAACATCAGTCGATCAGCCATATATTGGATTCGAGCAACATATTTCATTGGTTCTTGTCGGCTGTGTGAAACCCTGACCACCAATTAATTCGATATCAACAGGCGAAATACTTACTTTGATTGGACACTAGCTATTAACTAGTGTCATGTGTGTCTAGTCTTCTTCCTATCTTTGGTGCAGACTGAATTCAATCAATCAGGTTGGCAATGTGGCCACCATGCCACTAGGTGGCTAGCTGTCACGGTACACATTGATTTGATGATATTAGATAGTTGGAGGCAATCGGCCGCAGGAAGCCCCATCCAACCTAGGTTTCGTGCTAGTTGGTACTCACCAGTCATCAAGGCGTATGTGCAACCAACTTGAAATAACTCATGTCCCTCATTCTGAGATTCGAACCCGCGTCACACACTGCCGCCTGCAGTCAGAGACAGACGTTACCACTGTGAGCTATTTGGGCTCGCGATTGACTTCCTGTAAGATTGTAGTGGATACTAGCACAAAACCTAGGTTGGATGGGGCTTCCTGTGGCCGATCGCCTGCAAACATCTAATATCATCAAATCAATGTGTACCGTGATGGCGATCTACCTAGTGGCATGGTGGCCACATTGCCAACCTGATTGATAGAATTCAGTGTACGTCAAAGACACGATGAGGACTAGACACACATCACACAAGTTACTAGCGTCCAATCAAAGTATCAAATACAGTCTTACAGGAGGTCAATCGCGGGCGGAATAGCTTAATGGTAACGTCTCTCTCTGATTGCAGGCGTCACTGTGTGACGCGGGTTCGAATCTCAGAAAGAGGGACATTGAGTTCCTTCAAATTGGTTGCAGATACGCCCTGCTGACGAGTGCCGACTGGGACGAAACTCAGGTCTAAGGCTTCCAGTGGCCGATTGCCTCCAACCATCTAATATCATGTGAAATATTTAAATACTTTAGTTATTGATCGATCATAAATAAAAGTGATGGATATTAATACCACGTGATCAAGTAGTATTAATGGAAAGGAATAAAATATATGATGAATATAGATCGATTTTACTATGCAATATGAAGAAAATGGAGGGTTTGGTTTTCCGGATCTCTCTGGGACCTTTAAGATCTACAAATAGAAGTACACAAAGATATATTGATTTTAGAATGGACTATATCTAAATTTCAGTAACGCTTTTCCAATAAGCTACAAGAAAGGGGGATGGTTCTGGTGAGGACATTGGTGTGCTATCAATACTGTGAAAAGTTTTGTTTGAGAAAAAGACACTTAATAATGATGAGCTCATAATCATTGAATACTGTTTACGAGACAATCAATATCCCTATTCTCTATTATTTTCTGAAATGTTGCGTGTTTAGCTTCAACATTAACCAAGGAAATGGAATACAGTAACCTGGTCTGATGGTTGCTGTGATGTTAAGGCGGTTATCTGATTCAGTGGACTGACCTAATTAATATGCACTCCTTTCTTGCTGTAACTTAGATCCCAAAGGAGAGAAACTCCAGTACAGACTGTTTAGATAAGATGACATTTATCTGGTTATAAGGAAGAAGATTTGTAGCTCAGGTGGGTGGAATGATTTTCACTTAGTTGTGTTCTCTGAGCTTGTTGATTCAACTGTAAAGCTGTTGTTTTCCAGAGGTATTTAAAAACGGTGGAGACACTTTACTGTCTGCGTTAACTAAGGTACTACTAGGCAGCGTCTGGGAATCAGTGGAAGCCCCGTCGGGTTGGTGTAAGTCATTGATTATTCCGATATACAAGAAAGGAGACAAGTCTTCCTGTGATAATCACAGGGGGGGGGATTAGCTTGACTGATATGGTATCTAAAGTTCTAGGCTGAATAATCATGCGTAGACTAAATGGTGCTCGGGAGGGAAAAACACGAGAGTACCAGGCAAGCTTTAGATGAGGAAGAGGGTGTATTGTTCATATCTTCACCATTCGACAGATTCTGGAACATAGACATAAATACTGGTGTCCAACAATCGTTATATTTCTTGATTCCGTCGACCGAGAGGTACTCTGGCGATGCTTGACTGTAAAAGGAATCCCGAGAAAATACATTACACTAATTATCAAGGCACTCTACTCGAACTCATGCAACCAGCCAGGGGAAAGCTTACAGCGACTTGTCATCAGAAGTGGTGACAACTAGTGATGTCCATCAGGGATGCCCACTATCCCCATTTCTATTCAATTTCATTATAGAAGTACCAATGGAATTAACCCTAATTCACTTCAGAGGCTCAGGGATTGACTTGTTGCAATCATGGAATAATCTCGTTGACTTAGAATATTCAAATGATAAAGTCCTCCTAGATGAAGACGCTGACGAATTGCAGAGCCCTCTGAACACCTTGAGTTGCGATCTGCGAATGTCTGGCATGCGATTCACTTCTGCCAAATGTAAGGTGATGTTACAGGACTGGACTACATCAATTACTCCTAGCTTAGAGATAAGTAATGAAGTGATAGAGCACGTTGACCGTTTCACTTGTTTCGGAAGTTGCATCAGCCAATGCCAACGGGTTGATCGCTGACGAAATCTCAGAACGGACACAGAGGACTAGTTTCGCATATGCCAGTTTACGACGTCTCCGGAGTAGACGTGGTATCCGGCTGGCTATCGACCAAAGGGTGTGTGCTGCTCAGCAATCCGTTCCGTCCTCCTTTATAGCTGTGAGATATGGTCATTGAAAGTGTAAGACATGAAAAGACTAGCTGTCTTTGATCATGGGTGCCTGCGTTCTATCTCCCGTGTTAGGCGGTGGTATAATAAAGTGAGCAATATTGAGGTTGGGCATCGGTCGAGTGCCAACTAGCTAAGGAGAGGAAATCAACAGACGAGACTGTGAAGCTACATCTACTGAGATGATTAGGACACGTCTAACACATGCACGCCTAGTCATTGCTTTCATGAACAACGGGCAATGTTAGCTGAAACAGGGTCAGGTTGGGAAACGGTCAGTGGTGATCAAACCAAAACATGGCCTCATCAGTCAATGAAATCCACAACAGTTAGTTTAAGCCAGCCATGTAGGGAGGTTTAGACTTCCTTACTGGCTGGTTGGGGTCCTCAGGACAGTGGAAACCATTGAAGACTGGAGACAATTGCTGATATAGCTCAAAATCGTCGTTGTCAATGGCTGGCGTAGATGCATCCACTCCTTGTGACTATATATATATATATATATATATATATATATATATATATATATATATATATATATATATATATATATATATATATATATATATATATATATATATAAATTGTGTTATAATTCACATAAGATTAAAATTTTTTTCTATAGTTGGTTTATAAGGATTAGTTTTGTTTTTACGAGTTTGATGACGGATTGATATCAGTTAGCGAACCACTAAAAACCAGCCAGGGAGCACTGGACAGGCAGTTGTTTCATCAGCCTAGTTTGGGAATCATCGGCATTGCTCATTCATCCCACTGTCTGGGTTCGAACCCAGAACCTTCAGGTTACAAGGCAGGCTCAGGACGGAGTTTCCTGGAGTCAGTTCTAGTGAGAAGCTGTTACCAGTGAGGTCCATCCAAACATCAAGTGTGAGGATAGATGTCCCATCGATGACTTTGGTTTGGTGCCAGTCATGCTAGATGCATCACGAATTGGTAGAAGTTAGAATTCATGGGTTGGCCATTGAGGTGTCTTGTAACCGGAAGAGGTGGTCCTGGGTTCTAACCCAGACAGTGTGGTGGGGGTGCGTACTACCAATGATTCTCAAACTAAGCTGATGAAACAGCTGTCTAGCAGTACTCGAGTGCTGGCTAGTTTTCAATGGTTCTCTAACTGATGATATCAACCCATGATCAACTTGTAAAACAGAAATTTTTTTTGTCTTCTTTACTGAAACGTTTTATTTTCTCCTTTTTTTATTTCCAGTTATGTGTATTTTAGTTGGATTAAGTTTAGCTGAAACAGAAATTGAATACATTCATGATCATGGAGATGCAGATTTAACCCAAATGTTACTGTCTAACAGATTATTGGGAACAAAACCACCGCCATCGTCATCATCAGGAGCAGTAGCGGCAGCGGCAGTGGGAGATGGATATACAAATCAGCTCAATAAAAATGATAATAATAATAATAATGCTAATACAATTAGTGTTAGTGATAATAGTGCTGTAAGCGGTAGCAGCACCACCACTGGTACCAACAGTCGTGATACAAATTCTGATCTGTTAAGTTCCAATGGAGAATTCGCTTTATTTCTTACTCCACCCCTGTCTAGTTTCTTTCTTTTAATTTCAGCTAATTTTATCTACTTATTAAGTTTTTTAGGCGTTCTCACCTATTTTGTACGATTATGTGAAAAAGCTGATGAAGATAGAAAACATATGAGAAGTGCTGAAACAAGTCGGGCTTAAATACCTTAAAACAAAGTCTGTTTTTTCTCATGTTAAATAGGTTTAGTGTGTTTACCTATGTGTGTGTGTGTGTGATGTGCATACACACACCCACATCCAACAGTTTGAAGGGGAGTATTTTGGTGTAAGAAGAGGATACGTCGGTGTTTTTTAAATTGTGTCTCTGTGTACTATTGTCGACAGTCTCTTTTACATTTCAATAATGCTGCCTTGATTATATATATGCCATATTTCATTACACATTATTGTTATTATTATTATTATTATTGTTATTACTATTACTATTTTTGAGTAACCCCTGACATTGGTCGTCCTCATTATTTTTTCGGAATACTCCAACTGCTTATTTCCTCAAATATGAAATTCTTCTTGCTTTGTTGTATAATGTTGAATAATAGCGCCTTTGATCATAATAATAATAATAATATTGTGCATTTTAATCGATAATACATCCCATTCTTGTTGTTTACTCTCTGCCTCCTCTTTCTGCATCTTTCTCTCTCCCTCTCTCTCTCTGGAACTGTGGGAGATCGTTATACCGCCCAGATAGAATCTCGACTCTACTGTCTATCCTTTTAATCAAGTGTCACTTAGAGTTAAATTTGGCTGAAATAGAATCTTTAAGTGTTGGTTTATAGGGATTTGGTTGATTGGTTACAGGATTTCATCATGAGCTGACATTGGTTAGAGAACCATTGGAAAACCTGCCAAGGAGTACTGGACAGATGAAGAGTCCCATATTGGGACGATGAGATGCTCACTAGCGACTTGCCTTATTCAAGTGGGGTTCTAGTGAGTATTCGTGACCAGTAGGCTGCAGCAAGTCGAGTGTGAGGACAAATACTCGCCGAAGACATCGACTAGGGGACGCCATATCATGAATTAGCAGAAGTTAGAATTCATAGGCTGTTCATTGGATCCGGGTCCCAGTGGCTTAGTGGTATACGAGCTCGCTTTGTAACCAGAAGGTCCTGGGTTCGAATGGTGGTGGTGGTTGCTTACTGATGAGGAGTCCCACACTAGGCCGACGAAACAGCTGTCTGGCAGTACTCCCAGCTGGTTTTCCAATGGTTCTCTAACCAATGTCAGCTCATGATGAAATCCTGAAATAGAATCGATCAATTATAAATTTCGCGAAGGTTAGTCATACGATGTAGACCATTGAGCCACTAGTCGTGCGTTGGTGGCACAGCGGTTAGGACGCTCGCCGACCATGCACATGGTCTTGGGTTCGATCCCCGGCCGACGCATTCCTTTACCTCGCTAAGCCAGATATAATGCTGGTAAATAGGAAGGCATGGGCATGAAGCTAGCAACCCCATCCTGCAAAAATAAATACTGCTACAGAAACTTCAAGCCACTAGCTTGAAGCCCTATGTTCCACTGGGAACTTCAAGGAAAAATTATTATTAGTAGTAGTTATACGATGTATACAGGAGTATAAGTCCATAATAGATAAGATTTTATTTTGATAAAGTGTCACACAGTCGTGGAAAATACCCATCAAGACATTAGAGGAAAAAGAACAAGAAGTTCAGCAAAGATGACGGTCTTTTCGGTAATTTCATTCTCAAAAGCAGCTGTATAATCGCATTTATAAATACATCAGTTTACATGGATACAACTATTATTTATTTAATTGCACACAGTAATGAAGTAGATAATAATTTTCAACTTGATACGAATTACAAAAGCCTTAGAAACAAAAGTTACGCAGGGATAAAACGAATTACAGGTGTAAACAAAATGAGCATGGAAACAAATTGAAATCAAAATTTTCCATCTTGAAATTTAAGATAGGAGGTATGAATATAGATCACAAGAGGCATAGAAACAAAAAATTACACTGGATTCGAATATAATTGTAAAATGGTTATTCTAAACGGATCACAAGTGTGATCAGGAGGAGCATGGAAACAAACTTAAAATAACTGATTTTATAACTGAAAAACTAATGGGATGAATTAAATGAAGGCAAAGAGAGAAAATTACACAAACAGAACAAGATAAAAAAACTGAAGGATAAGGGGTGAACATACTGAAGTAGGTCCATGGTAGTTGTAACGGCTGGACTAGTTTCTTTTGAACACATAGCTCCGGCTTTTCGATGCATATGGCGAGAGCCTCCACAGTACACAGAAGTAGGAAACACACTGCCTTTGGTGGATTTTTGTTTACTTTGTAAATGACTCTGAATGGTGAGTCAGTTCAGGTGCTGTGACAAGTATTGACGAGGTGTTCGGTTATGGCTCTTCTGGTTGAGCCAGTGCCTCCTCTTTGTAGCCAAGGTGGATGATGTTCCTTAACACGTTTTGATAAGACCCTCATCACACATTGTTGTAGAGTAATATTCTGGAGTCAGCTCTGAAGGAGGTGCGTGAAGATGGTGTAGATCTGCTACCTGGAGATAGACTTTTCGACCCTGAGTATGCAGACGATATCGTCCTACTGTGCGATAGCATGCAGGCTTCCCAAATCGCACTTAATCAATGGGCGATCAGTGTCTGTAAGTATTTAAAGTACTTTGCACAGTCTAAGTGCAAAGTACTGTCGCAAGATTGGCAGGAGCCTGCACTTGCACTCACTCTTGCAGGTGAACCACTTGAAGTTGTTGATAAGTTTGTGTATCTGGGTAATTGTGTGAGTGCTGGCGGAGGGGTGACAGATGAGATTTCCAGCCGTATAATGAAAGGTAGAGTGGCAAACATCAACTTGAGCCACCTCTGGCGCCGTCGTGACATTAGCCTGGCTGTCAAAGGTCGGGTATACAATGCTTCGGTGCGAGCTATCTTGCTCTACGCCTGTGAAACCTGGCCTCTCCGAGTAGGCTGAGGATGTGTGGCGGCGACTCTGCGTGTTCGATCATCGCTGTCTCCGCAGGATTGCTTGCGTTCAATGTCATCATCGCGTGAGTAATTCTGAGGTTCGGTGGCGTGTGTTTGAACACAGTGGAGATCACCATTCATTGAATGTCGTCATCTGGAAACACCGGCTTTGGTGGCTTGGACATGTGCTGCGAATGTCATCCCAGAGGCTTCCGTACAGGTCTCTGTTCGCTAGTCAGTCCTGGGACGGGGTGGAAAAGGCGGAGAGGTGATCAGCCAATGACATGGTGTCGTGGAATGAAGGATATTTGTGCTCGGTTAGCATCAGTTGGTGCATCACGACTCCCTGGTTGGGGTCCGAGAGATAGCTCAAATAGATGGCTCGAAACGTTATCGGATATTGCCAAGAATCGTAACCAATGGCGAACGTGCTGCAATTACCTTCTCTCTCCTCCTCCCTCCCGATGATAGTTGACGAATACTGTTTGAATTTGTTAAGTATGACTGTTTTCCTTCCAGATGAAGTTCTTTATCCATTCTCCGCCTATATATTAACTTTTAATCTATGTTGTTTTATTATTATTGTGTGGCGCATCGTTTTGGCGTCATATTGTACCGAATTTTTCTGCGTTTAAATAAAATAACAATAAATCCTAATAGCCATATCGAGGTGATGTAAACAGCCTACGTCGGTTTCTTTCTTCTGGGATCGAGCTGATGAGCCGTGCACCTGGCTCGATTCAGGTCAGTAAGCCAGACAGTTTTTATTATTCTTAAGAATAATAAATAAATAAAATAATAATAAAAACTTTTTTCAGTAGTATTTTCGCCATTAATTGATTAGCTATTCATCTGTCCACCTGGGCTACAACAGACGCACAAATCAAATTCCGCTTTAAGAATCAATCAATGGGATTTTGCGGCTGCACACATCGAGTTTTGTACATGTTTCAAACATGTGACAGTCTTTTACGAGTTGATCACGGATTGATATCATCAGTTAGAGAAGCATTGAAAACCAGGGAGTACTGGACAGCTGCTGTTTCATCCTAGTTTGGGAATCATCGGCAGTACTGGGTTCAAATCCCAGTGGGTGCGTACTGATGATGATTCCCAAGCCAGGATGAAACAGCAGCTGTCCAGTACTCCCTGGTTTTCAATGCTTCTCTAACTGATGATATCGATCCGTGATCAACTCGTTAAAACATGACTAACCCTTACAAAGCAAACTATAGAAAATGTGACAGTCTAATGTATAGAAAGCTACTTTTTATCTAGTATTGAGTAGTGAACAAAGCTGAAGATTATGCTTCTCTTGAACGTGTAATATCGATTGATATTCAACAGTTTCTCATGTTTCTTAACTTTGTACCAGTAGGGAGGGAGATTAACCAAGTCGGAAGAATTTGCAACTCAGAATCGGTCAATGAAGACATCACAGGTTTGAGAAAGAAACTAACTGAAAATGATTGCCCCCTCCCACACACACACTTCATAGATAAAGCACAAAACACCCAAAGCCTAGAAAGAGAATTCATGTTATGTTATGCGTGAATGTACTGTTCAAAATGTAATCTTCTGGCTGACTATCTAAAGAAGAGAATATCAAAGGCTGTGGGAACAAAAGTTCTTTGCATCTACATTAAGATTGGCGTTCTCCTATCCCTTAATGTTTATACCAATAACTCGAAGGATATTTTCGAGTATTGATTTCGTAGGGATTTTGTTTGATCTGCTGGAAGATTTCATCATGAACTGACATCACTCAAAGAACCATTGGAAAACCAGCTGGGAGTACTGGACAGTCAGCTGTTTCATCAGACTAGTTTGGGACTCTTCAGTGGTATGCACCCACCGGAGTTCCAAGCTGGTGTGTACATTAGATTTGTCAGTACTCCCAGCTGTTTTTCCAATGGTTCTCTAACTGATGTCAGCTCATGATGAAATCCTCCATACAATCAAACAAAATCCCTACAAAAATCCAATACTTGAAAATTATTCTGATGCTCACTAGCGACTGGCGATAGTGAGGCAATTACCTGGGATTCTAGCGGGAAGCCATGACCAGTAGGGTACAACAGGTTAAAGGTGAGGCAGTAACGCATCGAAGAAGACATTACTTAGTGGTTGTGCCATGTCATGATTTGGCAGAAGCTGGAATTCACGCACTGACTGACCATTGGATCGGATCCCAGTGATTTAATCGTCTTCGAACTGACGCGCCTTGTAACCAGAAGGTCCTGGGTTCGAAGCCTGATTGTGGTTGCATGCTGCAGAAGAGCTAGACCGATGTTAAAGTCAGCCAGCCAGCTGGAATGAGAAAGGCAAGATAGACGCCTACATCAATCTGAAACCAATTCAGAAATCTTCTACACTCAACCTAAGGAACAAGATTTGCATTTTCAGCACCAATATTAAGCCAGTGAGTTGTTTTATATGGCTGAGAAACTTGCACTCCACTTCACGCAGGGAGAGAGAATTAGCAACAAGAAACTCTGAGAAGGAAGCTTCCAAGAACCGATTGCTTAACCAAGTAAATATGCAGGTGGATCGAACACACGCTGATGAGACCCTCGAAAGACACAGAGCACCTGGTCATCGCTAGAGTGAAAGGTGAATGGGAAACGGCAAGTTGTGCTTTAGT